TGAAAGGAGATGATGTATTTCAGAGACAATAACTTAATATTAAACATTGTACCTTTGTAACACTCATCATATCGCATTTCAAAAGGCTTACGCCAGAAGTCTCATTAGCAAAACCATTAAAACAAGCGCACAGCTGGTGGAGAGCATTTACTGTGCAGAAGAGTCAAATTCTTCTAAATTTATAGTGGCAAAATTGATTACTGATTCTAACATCTGTTGCAAATTTTACATTTAAATTCTCCTTAAAAAGTCACTTAGCTCAGAAACATCAGACTAGGCTCTACAAACCAGCTCCCCTCCCCCAGTAATCACATCAATAATCTCCACGCAAATCAAATGTGCTCTTTCATAAAAGCAACTGTTACTGTCATACATTATCTAATAAGCACTAAAACGCGCTTAAGATGTAACTCAATATATTCACACTACATTTGTAATCACATAGAAGCCAAGGGTAACTTTGAAGAATAATTTTAAAAAAAGGATGGGAGGGGGGGGGGGGGGGGGGAAGACTAAAGTAAACACCACCAGATGCAAGCCTGAAAATGTTTAAATATGCAAGCTGGCGTCTTCATCATCCAGAAATGTAAAAGGAACTACCTGTAAGCAGCGTGCAAATGCAGAACTGGAAGATGGTAGTGGGAGATGTTTTTATATTTCATGCCTTTCTCTGGACAAACCATCTCTAGCACCTTCCAGCAAGGAGTACATAGCCACAGGCGCCAAATCCATGCACTGTCAGATATGTGATATCCTAGGACAAGCAGAGCTAAGAATTTTCCTTTTTGGTCCTTTAATAGGAAAAGAAAGGGGAAAAAAAAAAAATTAAAAAAAGACATTTGCTATACCTCGCCCACAGAGCCATGACCCTGTTTCTCTATGAAACTTTAATTCCCTTGAAGTAGAAAAAAAATTGAGGGCAAGGTTTCACCCAAGATCTAAAGCAAGAGTTGCATATGATATCTAAAGACGCAAGTCTAACTGCACACCAGAAAGCACCAATAAGCTGTTTCTTTTGCTTTTTGTGACCCTCCTGGAAGGACAGGAAGGATAAGGTTCTGCTTCATCATCAGTTCCTGCAGTGCCATAACATCTATTAACCTAAAGGGTTTTTCCCCCCGTTTGCTTTGTGCATAGCTCCAATCTGTTTAAGAGAACATTGGCACCTGTCCCCTGAAAGTTAAAGCAGTTCAGCAATGCCTACTTGGTGTCTGGCAGCACAGCAAGTACTATAACGTACAGCGTATCAAGCAGATTGGGCAGGATTTATCATGATTAAGTCAAGAAGATACAGACAGAAGAGGTGACACCATGTCAAGGTTGGAAGAGTGTTCCTCAGAGTACCTGAGCGACACCAGGGACCTTTTCCCCAGAGCTCATCAGGCCCATGAATGTCCATGGAGGAGCCACCACTTGCTTCAAGACTTGTCTTACTCTTTCAACCGGTGGAAAAAAGCATGCTCAGAGATGTTGCAATGTAGTGTTGAACCACAAACAAGGCATGTTCTGCTGGTATGTCCATCACCATCTTTTCTCCAGTTATTTTCAAAGTGCTTGGGTAGAAATCTGTAAGGACTTTTGCCATACTAGGTCACTGCATCCCCACTTCATTTATCAGCAACTCGGTGGGGGATTCCCATTTGTCTCAGTCAACATCCCTATTGCTTGGGAAAACACTTGGTGATTTATGGACGACAACAACAGTTTTCAAAATTTCTCAACCTACAGAATCTGGTCTAGTAACACAGAGGGAAACAGAGCACAAAGTCAAAACACAAACGGATCACAAGTCTGACTGCTGGTGGCTGAGAGCTCAAAGAACATCGGTTCCTTATTTTCTTGCTCAGCACGTTTGGTTAATGGTATTTTTGAAAAAAAGCATCAATTTGATCATAAAACTTCAAGGGATAGAAAATCTACCCCTTCTCTCCTGAGCTTCTGGACCCTCTTCATTAATTTGTACCTCATTTCTCATTTGGATATAGCATTGCAAAGAAGCAATGGCTGGAAGAAATGCCTTTCAAGCACTGGAACAGAGATTTCTCATCCTTACGATGAGAATAAGGATTCACATCCTTAGTGCTTCCTCCAAGCGCTTGTCTATCAAGTCAAGTCACCTCTCAATCATTCTGATGAACACAAGGCTGTCAGAGGATGAGACTACAAGACTTCTCAAACGTGATGTTTGGAAAGGGCACATTCTAAATTGCACACGTTAACGTCTGTCTTTCCTCTCAATTTAATTTGGATGGCGGAAGACACATAACAAGAAACAAATGGAGCCTTCTGGGAGTCTACCTGCTGTTTAACAAACTCCTCCCTCAAGAAACGTTTCTCAGCATAGAAAACTTAACACGAAGGTTATCTCAATCAGAATCACTCTAGAAAGGGCAAAACTTGCTCCAAACGGCAGTGGGCAAAGAGGGGGTTTCTTGCTGTTTGTTGCAGAAAGAAATATCACAAAAGATTGTTTTTCTTTTATTCCTGAACTTCCTTTGAAAATGCTGTAGCAACTAGTCACCAACATGCTGTATGATGCTGTCAAATCATATTGGGAACAATTCGTTATTAAATTCACTCCTTTATTAAGAGCTCAAGAACTTTGCACAGAACTTCTTTTGTTATCATTATCAGTATAACTACCTCTCTCTAGGGCAACTAATTTGAAACTCGCCTCTTTGCTCAGGCCCTTCCATTTCTATTTTTAATAAGAATCAGCCTGCTTTTTGGTGGCAGGAAAGAACAGCCAAGAAGGACATCCTCGTGCCTTTCTCATCTAGGACCGTGTCTTCTCCTCTTCCTTTCTCCCGCTCGTCTATTTGGATTATCAATATTTTGCAGCAGGACCTGTCTCTAGCTACCCATCCCTGTAGCACCGAGCACAGAGCCCCAGGAACAGCGAGCAGACACACAAGCAAGCAGGGTAACAGTGCAGAAACAGCACTTGCCAGACAACACAACAAGCACAGCAAGGTACAGCTTGTGTTTTTAAAAACTCCCTTCGCCCATTTTTGTTTATTTTTTAAGTGTGCAGAGATCAAGCCTATCCATGATTCTTATTAGCAGTGACTCATATCAGCTGCAATGCCAGCTTGTCTCAGTCTCAGGAGAATTGAATAAGCCTGGATGGTTTGTCAGGCAGTGTGAAAATATGGGGACTTGTATTTTGTTTCCAGCTATATTAGCATCACTTTCCCAACACAATGCATCAGCACTTCCCACCTATTCCGAAACAGGAGCTGTATTTCTCAAGAATCAGCAGATGCATTAGCTTTCACCACCTTTCATTCATTACAGTCCTACAGAACGGTGCTTAACATCACACATGAATACCAAGCAACGCGCTCAGAAGGAAAACAGAAAGGTGCTTCTGCCCAGAAGCAGTTTAAGATAATTTTTGGGGTACCACAACCATGTATAACATTAAAAGAAAAACCTAACAAACAGCAGCTTCCCCAAGACTTCTTGCTGTCCCCCGCACGCGATGATACAACACGCAGCTGAGCAGGGGCTGGCAGAACAGTGTGTTACCAACTGGAGCAACTCTTAATTGGCTCTTGTGTTATCATTGTTTCAAGGACCCTTCAAAGTGCAGTTGCTTTGAGGAGAAAATGCACCTGCTAGTTGAGCTTTTTTCCTCTCCTCTTCACCTTGACCAGAGTATTTTTAGCTGCGTGGACAGACTTGCCAACACTTTCACCTTCGATTCTTTGCAAGGAAATTTGACACACAGCAATGAATGAACCATATCTATCCAGGGTCAAGAGAGGCAGAAGGAAAGAAATGATGGGCAAAAGCAAGCTCCCAGAAGACTTTCTCAATATTTTTGCCTTCGCTATTTTAGCTCCCCCTCTTTCCACAGCCTCCTCTACTCACACAGAGAACTTAGTAAGTTTGCACCCGATTTCAGTAAGCTCAGAGTTTGGCCTGAGATTTTGCTTAACAAGATCAGCTGGCACACCTGCATGCAAACAGCTTGATCAAGCTACTCACATGCCTTTGCAGAAGAAAGCACCACTCAGTTACACTGAGTCTCCCAGATCTACTAATGTAAGTACATTTGGCAGAAAATGGTCCAACATCGTCATCTCAGAAGGCAGAAAAACTCATTATTCAAATGAAACAGTCTCTCTTGTCTGTTCATCTCAGCAGGTAACATGTCAACTTCTGCCAAATCGGTAAACAGAAGTATTTGCTTCCATCAGAGCACAATATCAGTAAATAAGAGAGGGAAGACATGCTCATGAAGCACTATTATTATTAATTCATGTGATGCTGGGACCGCAAGCGCTTCATTAATTACTACAGAAACTGTTACACGGTAGACTAAGTTCTGAGCTGACAGCAGCAGACATGATCCCATGGGCCTTCAGGTCACTGTTCAGCTGTCTCAGACGGACACAAACTACCACAAACCACTGACAGTGTAAAAGGGTCACCCTTGCTATTATGCTCAGATATACTGTTTTGGGTAAATCTTCCCGAAATAAGCAGATTTCTATGTAGCAGGAGGGCAACTCGAGCTAGTAAACTCCAGCACACACATTTTAATGTCCTTTATGGACTGCAATTTCAAGGGAACCTTTGAGAACCAGTGCTAAGTGCCACATGGGGATTAATGACTCTTCCTAGTCTTCCCTAAATTTCCAGTTTTTCTTCAGCAGCCTGCTTTCAGTGTAAAAGCTTCATTAGGAAATCCTCTATTATTTTATAATCTCTTCATCTCTCACAGCATCTTATATTCACAGCAGAGTTTACTGTCCCATTTGACACACATTCTGCTCTCTTTTTGTCCTTGAATTTCTCCCCACATGGAAAACTGATCAAACTTGCTGGACTTTATACACCTTAACGTACAAAACATGTAAATATGCTCCCAACACATCCAGAACCCACTCCACGGTCCATCTTAAGCCTCTCAAGTCTTCTACTTTTGTCCTGAGTAGGTAAGGTGCAGAAGGAAGAAAAAAAAGTTTAAAAATACATTCTTAACTGGGTACCTTTTCAGACAAGGCCTTTAAACTGTCCAGAAACCTCTGCCAGAAATCCTTGAAGAGGGGTCGATCAATTCTCTTCAGGCTCTCTTTGGTGCTGGCATCCACGCTGACATACAGCTGCGTTACTGGCTCAAGGTTCCTTGGAAATAAAAAGGAGAAGGAAATTGTTGTTTTCAGACATTACTGCTAGCTGAATTTGTGTTTTCCTACCAAAGCACACACAAAATACAGTATCTCCAAACAAGCTGCTCTGCTGGTCCAGTAGTGACAGGAACTACACAGTATTTACAAGGAAAACTATCAAGGTCCAGTGGTTCATCTCTGCCAAGTGACCATCATCTTAATAGCAAGACGTTACAACCTACTTTCAACAAATAATACACCCCAAAGCTAAGAACGTCATATACAGAGGCCTTGGCTGACATTTTAATTATCTTTTCCTCACTGAACCGGAACATATTTCACTCCAGGGTAGCTGTAACACATTCAGACAGGCTTCCCAAAGCAGGCTGTCAGGGGTTCACGCGAGGCACTGAAAGGCTCGCCACTGCTTCTCACCACAGTCCCCATGGTTAAAAACCGTAAAGCTCAGCCCCTTCCCCGTAAAGCTCAGCCCCTTCCCCAAGTTCTATTTGCCCTGGCCCATGGAAAACTAATCCCATTCAATAGAAATACAGCCATAATTCAGCCAGTTTCTACTGCTGGACACGTTGAACTTACCTGACCTGCAGCTGGCATCATCAGTCAAATAATTTTTTGAAGGGAAATCAAAACTGTTTAGAAAATAAAACCAAGCACAATCCCCCAATGTGTTCTCCTTCCACTTCCAAAGCTCTTATTTCATATAAATCCTGCAGTATAGTCTTTCTGGTCACATAATGCCGGTGAGCACAGCATCTGTGAGCCCAACACCGGTAGCTTCTAAAAAGATTAAGCCTCCTCTGCTGTGTGAAGAGCCTGGGTCGAGTCTAATCCCTTCCATAAACCCCAAGGGTATAAAGGAGAAGCAGCAACACTGCAGTCCATTAGCAAAGGGATAATGAAGGGCATTAAGAGGAACTACCTAAAACGAGCTCCCTTGTCACAGACAAAACCGATAAAGTCAGTGAGTGTAACACACATCCACCCCTCACGGCATCTTCCACCCCAGTGTCTCTGAGATGAAGTGACAGCATCCTAATTGCACCGCGTAACTCTTTAGCTCTTACAGTTTTAGGACAACATTTTGCAAGCGCTTTTTGTGAAGTCTGTTAATGAGCAGGCTATAGTCCCAGCTTGATTTGGTTCTTTATAGAAGATGAGAAGAAATTAGAAACTATTGTTCAGCTGCCGAACAGTGCCACCTAAAAATACAGCAAACCCCCTGCCCTCCCCAAAGGTGACAAAGTGACAAGAACTGTCCAGAATGAGACCGAGCAGAGCTCTTAGTGTCCAGAAACATCCACTTAACATGGACACTCAAACAACCTGTCTAAACATATTCTCTCCATGTGTATTTATACAGAAGAATGAAATAGCCCAGAACAAATTTAACATTTTAGGTTAAAAAAACCTATTTTGTAAACAAGCTTGTCTGGACTGGCAGCCCAAAGCCACAATCTCCAAAAATGACCAAATGTTCTAGGCCTAAGTGGATTGAAGTATTCGGTTTCAAAGAACATAGCCAGAATACTCTTTTCTTTACTTAATGCTGCATTTGCCTAATTAAAAGGGGCCCCACTGAAGATGGAGCAAGTGTTTTTCAAAACATGAGCTGAGAAAAAGTCATCTCCTCTCTGAGGATCTCAATCCTAAGGGCAGGCAAGAGCCAGATTCACTGTTATACTGGAGAAAATTAAGGAATTAGAAGAGATCCCAGGGAGGGATTTCTGCCCCACATTGCTCCAAAACAGAGCGGTCCACAGGGCTCTGCCATGGCTGGGACTGGAGCCAGGACAACCTCGTGCATGCTCTGCCAAAGGGGAACAAGGAGAAAGGGCAGTCATGGGTCCAGCCAGCACCAGGGAGAAGCAGAGCACAAACTGATGTTCCCAGAACACAGCTACATTTCAAAATTAACAGGAAATTTAGTTACGTGGTACTAGGACGGGTTTTCCAACATTCCTCCTTAATTTTTGGTTGTAATTTCCAAGCTAGCTTAGACAGCTGAGATCGCATCCAGGAGATCAAGTTCACAGCATTTACCACGTACGAACTTGGGCAGAAATCATGACCAAGTAGCATAGCACAACTCAAGAGCAATAAACTGACTTCAGGCCACCAGCCATGAGGTGGTTTCACAAGCCAGACAGGACACAGCCTAGTCAATGACACAAAGAACAGAAACATCAATATAATAGAAATGAGCATTTGCTTATGAGCAATAATAAGCATCTGCTCATTATTATTATTGATGCTCATAAATGCAAACACATAGGCAAGGGTTCTTGTTCACAGCCACTAATCGGAAACAAGAGGAGGAAGAGGACAAGAGCCAGGTTCAATACGAGCTCACGTGCTATAAAACCTCCTTCACTTTATGAAAACGTGTGTGCCTGGAGGCAGATGAAGCCGCAGTCCAAATACAAAAGGAGGAAGAGGAGAAGAGGGAGGAAGGCACAGGCAGCACCACGCTGAAGACTCAGCCAGGGGGTCTGCAGAGCCAGCAGGCCCCTCTTCTAAACCCAGTGAACACCCCAGGCCACGCTCCCCGTTTGCATGCTGGATGCCGGAGATTGTGCTGCCTATTTTAGTACTAACTTTTAGACTATAGCTCCCCTCTGCTGACAACGGAAAAGCGAGCTTGGTGCATACTTCAAGTCCCATATTAAGCAAATCATTTGCTTTGATGAGCCAAAGATCAGTTGCAATTTTTAAGACAGCAAGACTAGCATTTTATCACTTTCTTTTTTTGTTTCTTTTTAAAAACATTCAGCAGATCCTAAGAAATGCAGCTTCAAAATATAGTGTGTGCTCTCTTTTTAAAATGCTATTTTTAGGAAAGAGCAATTTCTGTCTATCAGGCACATAATACATGACTTAAAGTAACTTGATTACACAATTATTCAATCATTTGGAATGCCTTTGTAGTGTATAATTACTCACTCAAAAATTGCATGCCCTCCCCTCTCACCCATATTCAGTTGGAATGCCTTTGTAGTGTATAATTACTCACTCAAAAATTGCATGCCCTCCCCTCTCACTGCCATATTCAGACCACGAGAAGGAAGTGAAAAGGAAGCTCTACCAGAAAGTGCTAACGCGGAGAGGCATTGAGCTGAAATGACAGTCTGAGCGACGCACCAAAACCACCCTGCATACAGCTCCGCTAGCACGTTCACGTAACTCCAGGGCTGGAATTTGTCAGCGTTATTAGCTAACGGTATTCTGACGAGCTCTCAGCCGCCTTGCAGCTCGCTCTGCGTGCTGCGTTTCCTTGCTATATTGCTTCAGATTTTGTTAACAGCAGCCTGGATGCTCAAGAACATCAGAAACAGGGATTCTTTGCATTTGTAGAGACCCTTTCAGCAGAGTTCATTAAAAAATTGTGAACGTTTAGCTCAAGTCCCTCTGAGAGGGAGGTTAAAAACTACTGATCCCACTTTTGCAGATGAGTGTGCGCTTTTCACCTGTTCTTATCCTGCACTCTGGGCCCTGCTGGAGATGCTGGGCTGTATAGATCTTTGATTTGAGCCGTTACGGCTGGTCTTAAGGAGTTAGAGCAAAGATCAGACTGCAAGAGAAGCACACAAACCAAAAAGGCAATTTATGAGTTCAGTCTCCTGCTCTAGCTGTTGGAAACACTCACACCAGTTATCTGTGTCCCCAAGCACAAAACACAGCTCACTCACTGTTCTCCTTCCCTCACACCTCTGGGAGGTACTATATTACCTTCTCTTCACTTTCAGAAGTAATCACACTTTAAGAGATACAGAAAAGAAAATCAAACTGGGGGAGAGAAAGAGACGAGAAAGAGCACGGGGAGATTAAGGTTAAAATCAGATAGATGCCAAATGGGCTTTTCCATTGTCAGTGCTCATGCAGAGCTTACTCTGATGACCGATAAAATGGAATTAAAATACAGGTCAGCACTCAAATGTTTTAATAGGGAAATATTTTGTCCAACTCTTACCTAATCTCATCTGGGAACTGTGCATTTGTAACCAGGAAACTAGAGATGCTGTGCTGGTGCAGGAGCTTCACAAAGCGGTTGATCTCTGGGTACATGATGGGCTCTCCCACCAGCGAGAGCGCGCAGTGCTTTGCTGTCATCGCTTCCTCAAAGCGATCTGCTTTTACTCCCGACACGCCTGCAAAAAGAGGGAAAACAGACTTAAATCAACTAGATCCTCCTCCCAAACCATGCATCCATATCTAAAATACACCCTGTCACACAGAAGACTGAGCAAAACCAGCTGGAGCCCTCCTGAACCAGAGGGGACACCAGGCCACAGCCAGCGCCCACTCAGCCAGCTCTGCAGGAATTCACAAAACAGCGTACACCCAGACACATGGAGCTTGGGGCTTTGTGTGCCCTGTTAACTACTGCAAGCAATTTTCTAGTAACATTTGAGTCAAGCTTTCCATTGCTAAGACCTCAGTGATGCTGCCTGACTGCTGAGACAGAAACACAAGAGCCAGTTTAATGCCACTTCAAGCAGGGGTCTTAGAGAAAACCAGGTTATGTCTGTCTCTGCTGCTGACCCCCCGTGGTCCCCCAGCCCCATGAAGATCAGCTCCCCAGAGGAGCTGGGCACACTTCGCCAAGCAGAGCGCCAACAACCAGGCCTGAATCCATATTGGCAACCACAAGAAATGCAACTCCACAGAGGACGTGTTGAAAAAGAAAACCCAACACATGACACCGTCCTGAACAGCGAGAGACATTTCAGAACGAAGAGGAAAACACAAGGAGCTCAACTGTAGCGTCCACGTGAAAATGCTATCTGCAGGTTTAACCAATCTGAGTCACATTTATTATACCCACAGGAGGGCAGGGGAGAGGCGAATACTCCTCCAGCCCATCCATATCCGACCAAGTGCTCAGGAACCCGTACGAAATCATCTGACTACAAACAAGCTTTTGTTCCAAATATGTCACTTCACATTTCGCTGACGTGCCTTGATGTACTCGAATAATATCTGAGGTTTTAGACTGGGGGTTGGTCTGTTTAAAAAAAAAAAACAAAAAACAAACAACAAAGACTTGAGTTTGAAACCAGGTCCTCAGCTCACCTCTCGTTGCCTAGACGCTGGAGCTAAAGCAGTACAGAAAATTACATGCTATGCTACAAAGCCACGATGAAAAGAGATGTTCGTGGATATTGCTTCAGCCTCACACAGAAAAGCTGGTTTGCGATCAGAGGGAAGCTTAGTGCATTTTAAACCAGCCAGGCTCAGTCCCGAGTAAGTGACAGGACTAATGGTTATTCCGCAGAAACCTGACAGTACTAAAATGAGAACTTTATTTGAAAAGAAAGAAGCATCTCAACCACACACAGAGATTAAAGGACTAACTTTTGCATTCCTAAAGCTACTGTAAGTCATTTTTGGAATTAATTAATTTCTCTCTCTCACCATCTTGCAATTGGACTACGATAATTACTCTGCCAGCTTTATAAACAGACAGAAAAGAGTTCCAACATCACAGAGTTTGAGAGTAACTTTCTCAAAACAGTTTACAGCAAATCTGGCGTATAGTAAATACACTTCCAGAGGAGGATATAGGTTTTGTATGCAATCATTTGACCATATAAATCACAAGCTAGACACGGATAAACTAAACAGGATTAGTGGGTATTCCAGGGAGCACATGAACTCTCCTGCACTTTTGGCTGCCATCCCACTACAGCACTCAACCTCTTCTGCTCCTGTAGATGAGCCTCCTTCTGTCTTCAGTCAGTGAACTTCAGCAAAGTTAGAGCCTGGGCAGATTTTGTATGGCATGCAGCAGGTCCAACACAGGTGGCAGGAGCTTGGAGCTGTAGGAACCTGAGAAGCCTCTGCAAGAGGCAGTGGCGTACAGCTTTCAGCTCCTGCCGAGCTCAGATCTCAGCAGAGCGTGCAGCCAAGCTTTGATGAGCACATCTCCTTTGAAAAGCTGATTCCAGCTGCTCTCCTACTGGTGCACTTTAATTTGGGAAGGAAAAGCATCATCTGGCACATCACCCTAGAGAGGCTGGTTGTTGACTTCAGGTACCCCTCTGCAAGTACCTGTCCACCAGTCATCACAAGTGCCTGGGTGACTGGGGAGACAAGGAACCTGTTTTATCCACAGGTAGACTTAGGATTTCCTAGTTCAGGTCATGCATTTTTGTTTGTTTTTTCCTTTTTCCCCAAGTTGAACCAGGTTTGTACTATCAGAGACTCCTACTCTCCTATTTTTGAATTATGTTTCCATTCTGTGTGTGCCCTTCGCAAGGGCACAGAGATTTACTAGCCACTACCTACAAAATGTATCCATCAAATAAACTACTTCACACTTTCCTACCTTAGCTCCCTATCAGCAAGATGTCTCTCCATCAATTACTCTAAAAGAGAATTATGTGACATTAACTAACGTCTACGGTCTTCAAAAACAGTACAAACTATGGCAACAATAAAAGAGAAGATAACGTATCATCATCTCTAAAAGCACACATAGAGACTCTTACAGGATAGAGGGCTATCCTTTAGGATATCCTATAGGATAGAGAGTCTCCAAGAATTCTTCTGTTCCTTCAAAGATCATCTCATTTTTACCACAATGCATGGAATTAATAAGGCATCAGACTAGCTCACCATTTCCTTTGGGGCAGGGAGATGTCCATATGTGCATACCTGAATGCAAAGCTGTGGTACTGGTACTAGAAACAGCACCAATTTATTCAAATAGCTTTGGGTATTATCTGAGCAGCATTACCAGACACTCAAAAGCCTTGAGGGCTCTCTAGCTAAGACATTTTCCCCATGCTTTTCTTCTCCAGTAGCCCGAATAGTCTGGTCTGCTCTACGTTGGGGGGTCAGTGTTCAAACATCTCGGCAGACATGCGCAGCACCCTGCTGGGAACTCCTCTGGAGTCCCTGCGGCTGCCCAGCCAGCGCTGCAGAGCCCAGCTGCAACCTGTCCTCCCTCTTCGACAAAGCAATCTAGTCCATCGCACTGCTCAAGCCTTGGGGTGGCTTGTGGGGTTTTGGTGGGTTTTTTTTTCTTTTAAAATCAATCATAATAAAATCCGACCTACTATTTATGGAGTGCTGCTAAGTTTGCTGGAAGTAGACAGTCATGTTTTCTGCCTGCGGCACTTCCAACCTGGACAGAGTACAGCTCTGGCACGGCACGCAGGGGACTTTTGTCCTGCAAGACACTGCGCATCTTTTAACTCTCCCTGGCTTCAGCTTACCACACAGTGTTTCAACTCAATTTTGCTTTCACCGATTCTACTCTAACAATATTTTCACATGCACCTCAGGGAAGCAACAATGTAAAATTCACAAAATGTAACAGTGAGCTACTGGGCTTTTCTTACTGATTTTTCTTCTCCTTAATAAACCTTTTGCTTTTAGGCTCCCAAGGCAGGAAGCATGTTGCCATCTATCACTCTGAAAAAGTAACACATCTTTTATTTTTCCACTTTGCAGCACAGTTCTAGTCCAGAACCTTTTTTTTTGGTCTTTCTCCTTTCACAGTTCCAGGTCAAGTGTAACTGTGCTGAGGATGCACATGCAAGTTTCAGGGAATATTTATTGATTTGTTTAATGGAAAATAAGCTCCAAAAAGAGAGCATTGGGGCGTCCTTACAGGCCTCTCAACACTTTGGAAATATTTTCAGATGCTGCCAAGTCCGTCTGTAAGCTCTCCCTCTCCCCAACCCTTTTTGGGAAGGCACCAGGGAACGGTAAGGGAAGGAGGGGGTTATTCCTTAGTCTGAAGTTGGGTTTAAACAGATTCCTGCACTCAGCTTTCAGAAGAAGGCAGGGCTTTCGAGCATCTGCAGAATAACTTTTGCTTTTCACCTTTCTTTACTGCAAACAACACACATTTCTGCCATACAGGGGCAACACTTCCATCACACTGCACCAGTACTGTACAGCTCGAGAACAATCCCTGCCTTCGCAAGCGTACCCTCGATACTCCATCAGCAGCTGCATGCAGATCTAGTCATCACTTTAAACAACATGTGGCTTCTTCCTAAGCAAATATAAATGACTATTTTGAGTCAAGTCCTGCCTCATAAAAAGGAGGGGTGTTGTTATCGTTTAAGACTTTCAATTTTAACAATCATAACAAAAGTCACAGAACTACTGGTTAGGAGGGGCTCCTGCAGGTCTCTAGTCCAGCCTCCTGCTCAGAGAGGACAATTGCCAACACTGGACAGGGTGATAATGGCTTTACTTAAAAGACTTGAAAACCTCCAAGGTTGGAGGGTCCCCCACCTCCTTGGGCACCACCTTCGCTGAACAAGCTGTCTAACTTGAACCTCTCAAACAGAAACCCAAGTCTGTTGTCCCTTGTTCTACCATGGCAGGTGGGTCTCCCAGCATGGACCGACATGGGGTTGTAATGCTCTCACAGAACCTTCCACTTCTTGCCGAACTCCACATGCATCTATTGGCCCAATACTCATGTTTCTCAAGGTCCCACTGAAGTAAAGCTGTGCCATTGAGTGTGCCTGCCACCCTCCCTAAATTAGTATCGCCTGCAAAGTTGCTGAGGGTGTATTCAGCATCATCATCCCCATCATCTGTTGATGGACATGTTGTACAACATAGGTTCCTGGATCAACCCCTGAAGTACCCTGCTTGTTATCAGCCACCAAACTGACCTCAAGCTATTGATCACTATCCTTTCAGCATGCCCAGCTACATTTCAACTCGTCTAAGAGCCTGGCTATCCAGAATAAACTGAATAAAAGAGTAGAGGTTGAAAAGTGCTCAGTGCTTTAAGCGTTTAACACGAATACTCTCGTTTATAGCTGTAACAGTCTTCTATGGCTGTTATAGCCTTCCAGACAAGATTTGTCATCCTACATGCTCTTTACTCATGCAAACCACCTGTACCCAAACTCCTGCTGTGCTGGCAACGGCATCCCACCAGCTGACTTAACAGGCAGCTATAAAACTCTGCAGCAGCTCTGGCCCAGCCAGTCAGGCAGCACTGCTGCAGGCATCCTGCCTTAACTCAGCACTCTCCCCACACTGCCCACATGGCTGCAGTGCAAAATAAACAGCAAGGCTAGAGAATGAGACCTGCAATTCCTTACAGGCTGCCCTGCCTCGAGCACTAACAGCTGTGCTTTGCTTAGTCTGAAGGAAGATACACTACTGACACCAACTACGTCCTCCACCGACTCCTCTCACCTTGCTACCGCTTCCCCAAGGAAAGCTTCCCCTACCAAATCAACACCATTCTTCCCTATCCCACTACAGCACCTTCACTGCTTTCTCCTGGACGAGCTCTAGGGCTGTGATCCAGTCCACCAGACTGCATGCGTGCAACAGGCAGAGTTGGTTATTCTGGCTGCTCCCTATCCGGTTCAGCATGGGAGCTCCTAGGGAACTGGCTGGTCCGAGACTGCGAGATGATTCAAACCAGCCACTTGATGAAAATGAAGCTCCTGAGGCCCTAACTTGAGTTATTTTTCCACCTATTATATAACTCCAGTGAATGAGACAGAGAAACTCTGCTCTGCTGACAGAAGTTTTTTTTGCCTGTCACATTTTAATCCACTGGGTTCTCTCTGTGCACAGCCAACATAAACAAACTGGTTCCCAAAATGACAGCCAAGACTAAGGCTCATCTTGCACATTTTATGGATGCTTCATTCTACTCCTGCAGCTCGCACAGCCTCTGCTGTCAGTTAGGAAGAGCAGAGTCCTAGACCTGTCCTGCCAAGCTGGCCAGCCCTCCCAGCACACAAAGCTGACCTTGGCAGAGTAACCAAGTTTATCAGCTTTGGGAAAACAGAAAAACCCCAACCATCTATATATATAGATACATAATGAATAAATAACAAACTCACAAGGAGTTCCTATGGGAAGCAAAATACAGGACTTTTCAGAGCTGTTGTGTAACTGCAGCTTCAGTCACAAACAGATGTACTGAATAATTCCTGAAAATAATAATACCCTGAATGCTACTGCTCACTCATTAATGAGAAAAATGCAATCTAGAAGTTTCAGAGCTAACACAAAAGCTCCCAGGGGATTAAAGCTGGGCAGTATATCTCCTGTAAGGTTAGAGGTTGATTCCTTTTGCCTTCTACCTGCCCTCACTTTTACATAAGAATCAAGGTTTCTCATCATCCGTAAAGCCAGCTTTAACCACTGAGGAAGCCTCTGTGCACACCGAGGAAAATGGTATGAGAACTACCAAGATGCACAAAAGGCAACTCCACTCTACTCCCTCAAGGCAGCAGTAGATACCCAATGGCTGACTCATGTTCTAGCGTGAAAAACAAGGCAGAACATCTCAGAAAACAGCAAGTGTGCCACCAAAGTTTCTTCTCACTTACCCGTCTTTCTGATATTATAAATCTCATGCCTCCTTCCCAGCATTTCACAGATGACCAGAACATTTTCATCTATGCTTTGAAGATGCTACTGCTGGTTATCTTCCAAAAGCATCATTAACAGGGAAGTGGGAGAAGTTACCTTTGAACTGCTTGATCATATTCTGATGGTTCTCAATAGCCTCCTGCAAGATCATTTCAGGTTGGTCCATCTTCCATCGCCACTCCGTGCCCACTGGATTTGTATGATGTCTGAAGGAAAAAGAGACAGTTATTCACTGTCATTTGTAACACACATGGAAGAACCCATCTGTCGCCCTGGGGACTTTGGCATTGTTTAATATTATTAAAAAGCAACAAGAAATTCTCAATATCCTGCTTCTGACACAACTTTCAGATGTCATCTTCGAACACCATTCTCATACCCCTCTCATTCCAGGCTCTGGTCTCCCCAGAAGGAAGAAGGGACCTTGCAGTTTATATTAAACTTAACATACCTATTATGAATCACAGGTAGAAGATTTCTAAGCTAAAATGATGCTCTGCAGCCAGAAAGACCTCTGTAAAAGAAAGGAAAACTGGTTCTACCTCCTCTTCTGACCACAGCTGCTCAAAGCACTAGAAAAGGAAGGTCCTAAGCCATTTTTAGTTCCATCGCAAAGGTACCAACTGCCACCCCGAGAAGGACAGGATTTGTTTCTAACCCAAGCTTTGTGTAATGCTCTAGTAACAAGACACATGAGGGCAGACTACTTCCAACTATATGAAGAGACTAGGAAGTCTGCAGTATGCCGGAGATGCATTGCTAGTGGATCTAGTTAATCTCCTAGATTTACTTAATAGGGGATTCCCATCACTTCTGAGATCTGCTAGCTACTGCGTTACTGAAACCCAAATGCAAAAAAATAAAAATAAAGTGTTAATTTCTCTGAACCAAGCAGACCGCAGGATAAAAAACACTGATCTTCCATCTGAGGGACAGCTTGTGTCACATTGGGTTAGGAAGCCAACCTTGCCTACCCGGAAAGGACCGCTATACCCATGTTTTGTTTTCTTCAAAAACATAAAAAGGCTACTCAGGCAAATCCACCCAAGCACCTGGAAGATACATGGACTTTCTCCCCTTTCCCTATTTCATTAGCACGAGAGAATGTTACAAAGCCATTGTAAGTCATCTGGGAAAAAATGCGTCCTGACCAGCACAATGAAATATTACCAGCAACTGCTGTGGTACCCATCACGCTCGCACCTGGACAAACACACCACAGAGCGAGCCTGTACAAGGGCACAGACCTCTCCCTGGTGAGAGGAATTTCCCACTAACCTTGCTGCACTTAGATTGGTATCGAACAGGGATAATTCCACCTTTAAGTATCATCCTAAGAAGATCAATGAATTCCTGTGCTTTCACCTCCTTGTTCTCTCCCCATCTTCCCCTGATTTTTTCCAAAATATGCTACAAAAGTTCCTCCACTTTTCCCCTACCAATTCTACTGCAGCTCTTAGAATAATTTATTAACAGAAGAGCAGCATATTTTGCAGTGTCTTTCAAAATAGCATTATTGGATTAACATAGCTCTGGACAAGAAAACAAGATCAAGCAATATATACTCCTGAAACTCTGTTTTCTGACCAGCTGATCTGTTTCCTCTACTGCTCTCCAACCCTGGAGGTCAGCCACGGAGACAACTGTGAGGTTACCTGCCATATTCAGCCTTCCAGCTACACAGGCATTAGGACATGACGCCCAGCATTTAACTAAAGGAGAAAAGACAGAGGGAAGCACTTTCTCAGAATGAAGTGGCTGGTGCAGTGCCTGCTGAAGACAAAAGACTCACACTGACTTCTCCAAGTGAGAAAGACCTGCAGCTCCAGACTGACAGTGCTAAAACAAAGTCTAGACCTGGCATCAATAAAAATAGCCCTTTGGCCCAAACATTTCTTCATCTACTTCAAGAGCAAAGATTCAAACACTGCTCTCAAACTACTTTACCATCTCAAAGATCCTTTAGGCTAAAACAGCTTTGCTTTTTGAATTTCCCCTTTTTTTTTTTCTCCTGTCTGCCAACATGGAAAGTTTTCTGAATGCCAACTATAAAAAGGCATTTATAAAACTCTTACACGTTTAACTACATAACTTGTAACTTGTATATTTAATAGAGCAAGTTGGCAGAAAAATCAATGGGCTCCTGGTGCATGCTGGACAGCTATTAATTATTAGTGTCTAACAGTCCTTGAATTTTTAACACATTCTGTTTAATAAACATACCAGGTCACATCTACAGAGCAGCTTATTTGGCAAAAAAACAGTTTTTCTGTTTTTCTGGGGGGAAAAAGCAATGTTTTGTGGCTGATGAGATTGTTTCACAGTCCCTGGCACAGACAGAAGTTCACTGTCACCCTCCCATTCCCCTGCAGGCTCTGTGACCCCCCGCATCAACTGCCTCACCAGCTACTCAAGTCTTGAGCAGGTAATTGTGCATGGTATTCCTTCCCTTCCAAAAATAACACAAAAAAATCTCACCCCAAACCACACACATCAGAAAACCCGTATTTTATTAGAGATTCCAGGTGTGAAACAGGTTTGATTTGATACTGCAGAGACAAGCCACCACTGCCACAGCACCCCACCACCGTGGAGCGATGCAAGACTGCACGAAACATGAGGGGGAGCTCCCAGCTCGCTCCCGCTCTTCCCCTGGCTAACAAGACTGCCTCCAATCCAGCCTTATTTGCATTCTCAACAGACCTGTGATCTACCAGTATTATTTGCCAGCATTACCAAAGTGTCCCTGGCAGTCAGACCTCTGCGAAGAAGGTGTATTCTTCAGTGGGGCAGTGCATCCCCCTCCCCAATCACTTGTGTATTACTTTAATAAATCAGCTTTTGCTTGATACCCTCTTTTAAAACAGTTGCTCTCTTCTGTGAGCAATGCTTAGTATTATGAAGCCTTTCAAGAAACTCAGAGAAAATACAGCACGGGTATAAAGTATCATTTAGTCCAGTGATCAGCTGATTGATGTCGATAGCTGGTGGGGAACATGAAGGTGAAGAAACACTGGTGGCAGTGATCATGAGAGGACGGAGCACATGGCTCCCAGGAAGGGACGGGAGGGAAAGAGCAGAACAAAAACAAGAGAGTTCAAGAAAGCAGACTTCAGTGAACCCTGAGAACCGGCAGGTGAGACCCCAGAGGAGATGAGTTTAAGGGCAAATGAGTTCAGGAGAACTGGCAGTTTTTTAAACCCTATTAAGGCAGAAGCGCAAACTGCAGCAATAAAAAGCAAAGATATGAAGAGCAGCAAGAAACCAATCTGGCAGAATTGCAGGCTCTTCTGCAACCTTGCCATCCTCCAGCTGAAAATAAGAGGAAGAGCACAAGAAGACAAGAACACAGGGTCATAATCAGAAAGGTCGAGGCAGAAAATCAGATACAACTAGCAAAGGACATACAAAAGGGCTAACAAGAAAGACTTTCCTATAACGATGTGAGGAGTAAGAGGAAGGCCAAGGAAAAAGCTTGTCCAATGCACAAGCAAACAACGTTTAATGTTTCTCTGTGATGACAAGAAACCTGCTTGCACCTTTTCTTCTACTTTCTCCTGACGGCAATGGGAAGAATCCAGATTGGACTAGGAAGAGGACAGGTTAGAGATATTTGACCTAAATGAAATGTTTTCACTAGGATGGTTAAACTCGCCCTAGAGCATGTTGGATGAATTGGCTGACAGTATCAGAGTCGCTAGCAATAAGCTGGAAGTTTGTGAGGAGCATGTAAAAATGATTTAAAACACACCGGAAAAGTGCAAATGCAACACTCACTTTAGCAGGAGCCAAAGATTTCTATACCAGCCCCTCTTAATTTCCAGTTCCTCAGGACATACTGGATTAAATAAGTGTTTGTGCGCCCCAGAACACAGCACTGAGATAGGTAACAGCCAACATGAAACGTTCTCAGCAGGTTCAAGACCACCACTGGTCCTTGTAGGCAAAGGGAAAGGAGAAGAGGTTGAGCTTTTGACACCATCTTACCCAGTATTATCATAATCTGCCCAAAGAAATGCTCTGTAAGTAGCACTGTTTTGTAAGAGAGCACAAATCAGGGTAGAAAACTTGAATCTAAGATTAGTTACCACTGGTTCAGTAGGACACTAGATCTATCCCAAAAGGCACCTGCAGGGTTGTGTCCTGGACTGGTCCTAGTCGGCAGCTCCCAAGAGTTGAACGATGGCTCAGGAGGCAGGCTTACCACATCCGAGGTGGAGCCAACCTGGCTGGAGATGCAAACTCAGGGAGGACAATGTGCCATTAAGAAGATCACCACGTTGACGGTATTACACAGTCATAACTTGCATTTGACTGCAAAATGCCTTGTGGCAGGGATAAAGCAAAGACTTCAAGTCTCTCAGATTTACCTTCTACAAATCGGATGACACTCACTTTAAAAAGAGAAGTTTTGATAGGAACAACAGTTAAAAAAAAAATCCTTATCTAGACTGCTGTCTGAGGAAGAGGAGCACAATGTTTCTATAGAAGTTTCCTGTTAAATATCAGACAATTATTTCTCATGTCGCTCTGAGCAATCTTTGTTAGCTGTAAGAATGAGAAAAATAATGGTTTATTATGAATAAATTAAGGAAGAGAAAAAAAGGTTTTCACAAGGCATGGAATTATTCCTAAATGCTGATAAATGTAAACAATTTTAGAGAAGAAAAAATTGGGGAAATAAGGCCGAAGTCAAGTGTTTGGATATCTGAACATCCAAAGACAACTCATTTTAAAAATGACAAAATATTCAGTATTTTCAAAAGAAAATTTGGACTTTTCTCCTGTTTTAAAATCAACTTAAATAAAAAGATTTTCCAGAAACAGGTGAAAAAGCCCAAAATGAATTGATGAATTTTGGATTAAACAAAATAAATCAACCCATAACTTCTATGTTTTCACTAAGAGTGCATTGCAGCTGAACCCTCACTAACTTCCTAAGGTTTTTCAAATCAGCTGCTCAACCAAAATAAATTTAGTCCTCTCCTTCTGAGATTACTTGGTCATTGTAGAACACCCGGCAGCAACTCACGATCGTACCAATAGTGAGGACTTTAGACCAGGTTGGTTTTGCCAGTTCCTCTGAACCGAGAGGACTGAACTTCAGATTTTTAGAACAACCCACTTTTGATACTGGCACTGGTACTTGGCCCTGGTGAGGCCGCACCTCGAATACTGTGTTCAGTTTTGGGCCCCTCACTACAAG